GGGGGGGGGGCGGGCATGGGGGCCAGCAAGTCTGACGTATCCTAATGTGGGTAAGTTGCAAGGACAGCTCACCAAGTCAAAGCCTGGCCCCGAGGCTTGACCATCACAGTGCGTGCTCCAGGGGGTACCAGGGCAATGCTGCCGTGAGCACCCCACCCCAGGCCCACTGCCTGGAGGCAGGCTGGTTTTCCACACGAATATGGACATTTCACAAGCCCAGAAACGCAACGCTTTGTGAAATGCTTATCATTTAGCAAAGGTCGATGACTCAGGACTGCCCTTTTCTTCATAAGGAATGAAGACCATTTGGAAACTTAGATGACAAGAGTCAGCTGGCTTCTGACGGACCGCTGGGTTTCACCATAACCTCCTACTGCCATGCCCAGTGGCAGGGCCCAAGGGGACCTTAACCCTCCATGTAACCTACAGGGGCTTCTTCCCCCACCACACACAGGTAATTCTGAGTATCGCCGGCTCCTTGTCACACAAAGAAATCTGACCTTTACCTTGGAAACGTATTTGGCTGCAAGATGAAAAACAGTAACCTGTAACTGTTATGAACTTACAGGAGCCTTCTTGTCGATGGGCTTAATGACAAACTTTTTGTCATTGAAAGAGATGTTCCTGATTTCACTCCATGGGAAGCCAATCTTTGGAGTCAACCTAAGGTTAAAAAAAAAAGGTGGGAGAGTTAGATGTGTACTTGGATTGGCTAAGAAAGGTCTGTAAATCTATTCTTTCCTTTAGTTTAATTTAAAAAAGTACAAAGCTAGCCCAAGAATCATATTATGTAGTGTACATCATAACTGAATAGTTGCTACCTGTGCTAGGTTAGCTGACAGGTGGGTGTCAGTGAGGGTCAAACTCTAGGAAGCCTTGATATGCTCCCACTGACATTCGTCTTTCTCAGTTACTACGTCCAGTCACCCCGGCTTGTAATCTTGAGGTCAACTCTGATTCCTAACCAGGCACCTCCTTTCGTCCTTTGTTTGAAGTCTCTCTCATGACCATCTTTTGCAAGTCATTCCCACATCCCCACCCTAACCCCACCTCTCACATGCCAGCAGCCTAGCCAACCAAGTTCCTTGTTGCCAGAACCCTACTTCCAGTCTTCTTGTCTGATTAATGTCCCTTGGGGTCAATCCATTCCCCTCCTGAAAAATGTCAACACTGCCACCCCAACACCCTGCCCCCAGTTTCTACAGGATGAAATCCACAGTCCTTAACTTCGCATCCAACAGCCTTCTAACCTAGACCCAGCTGCCTGGTTCAGCCCACCCTTTCAACACAGGGTTCACTGCCGCCCCTCACATGGAAGGGCCTCCCTCCTGCCTCCCCCACCACTCCCAGACCTGCACCATCAGGCCAGCTCACTCTCCCTTTCAGTAGCCTTTCCCCTCTCAACGTGCGGTCCCTTATGCTACACAAACTATTCTCGTGTTACTTAAATTACTGCATTATTATTTAGCTCTTGGAAAACCAGGCAGGTAGGCAGTCTGATGGCAAGGATCACACCTTGTGTTTCCTATACACGCTACACCCAGAGCAGCTGTTCACTAGTGGAAAAGGCAAGGGCTGGGCATGGTTCAAGTCCAAGGTTTCCTTACTGTATTGTTGTCTGTTTCTCCCTTAGAAAACTGTTAGCATTTGCTTAATATATTAGGTGCTCTAATGTTGGGTGCATGTATATTCACAATTGTTATATCTTCTTGATGAGCTGAGAGCTTGGTATACGGATTCTGCCCCTCTAGTTCTCATCTTAGGGATGCATGTCCTCCTGGCTGGTCAGACACCTTCCCATGTCATCCTCCAAGTTCCAAGAGAGCTCTCAGATCGCACACCCTAACAGTAGCCCCACTACTGTCCTACTTAATCGCTACTAGTCCACTAATGGCTGAAGCTCCGGATGTTTAATTAGCATTCCTGGGAGAGCTTATGTTATGACTTCAAGACCACATTGCTCTACTTACCTCATAATTTCCACCCTATTCTTCATCTCCTCCACCCTGTTCTTTCAACACATTTACCGTGGATGCCATTCCAGAAGGAATGACAGATCCTCAAGCAACTTTTCAAAGATGCTGCCATGAAAAACGGTCCTTGCCCATGAGCCATAAAAACTTCCCATTTAGAAAAGAGCAGGAGTGGGCAGGACTCTACTGCCTACCGAAATGTTTAAATAAAAACTGATGGGCAATGTAGGTCCTGTTATGACAACAAAAGCCAGGTCAAGGCAGTGGGCGTGGCCTCTGAAGGCCGGGAGTGGGCACCTAAGCCCGACAGGCTTCTGGGACCCAACAGTCAGGGCACTGGCCAGGCTGTGGTTCTAAGTGTCAAATCTTTTTGATATACATCCTTTTTTTTAGTTTTCTCCTATAGGATCACCAATGCCCATTGAAATACATCTGGTTAACATGCTTCACAGCACTCAAAAAAGCATGCAGGGAGTTTGTTGTTATTTTATCTCCCATTGTATATGGGAGATACACACACACACACACACACACACACACACACACACACACATACTGTTTGAAGAAGTAATTTTGTATATAGGTCTCTAAGCACTGGAAAGGAACTCAGGATGTCACCTGGTCCTGCCATGGACGTAACCTCTATGCTTACGTGGAAAGGCCGTAAAAGAGAGCTATCGGGTAGGCACTTGTTGCTTCAGAACACTTTCCTCCAAAACACAAGGCCAACATGCTGGGAAGAGCAGAAGAGCCAGGAAGCAGCAGCTGCCCAGCTCTCAGCCGTGCAGTCAGCACTGTGGGCCGGGCTTCCAAAGCTACGATCTGTTCTCTGTCTCCTAGTTTTATACAAGTCTCTCAAAATAGTTTCTAACCCAGAAAACTTGGACCTTCAGGCTAGACAGACATCTTTCTCTCAAGGGTTGGGCATCCTGTCACCACGGGTTCCAGCTTCTTCTTTCTGCTGTACCTGCAAAGTTCGTCTTTTTTTAAGACTCTGAAACGTCGTATAACAATTTATAGCCTCCATAAGCAGGACTGCAGTATCGCAAGATGAGCCCTAAACATGAAAATTATGACTCACCCTAAGTTAAAGAACCTCCTTTTACTCTTGACCACAGTTGGAAGATTAACGTCTACAAGGATTTCTTTCTTTTTCTTTTTTGAGTTCACTTAGAGGACACAAACAGAGAAGGACCCACAGAGAAGGTTTCTAAAGGATTTATAAGTCACAGATTTTTTTAAAAGTGCAATTCTCGAAAGATTGGGGACCAGAGCTCTTTGGAGAAACGGCTGATTCCAGGGCTGGAGCATCTGGAGGTACCAATATGTAAGAAGTGCCTTGAAAATAATGGGGTCAGGAAGGCCCAGGAGCCAACTCAAAGGGGCTCCGAAAAGCAAATCTCAAAAGGTTTTAGCTACAAAATAACAGTATAGATTATGGCCCATAGAAGAAAACACATATTAACATAAGTAACTAAACAATAAATGGAGAAGAGAAATTGGTTCCTTATAGAATTCCATTAATATGTGTAAAGAGAATGATTTTTAAAAAAAAAAAATCACTTCTCAAATACAATAACTGTTTCATGCAAGTCTCATCAATGGATGTAGAATAGATGAAAGGTTAAGAAACAGGATATTCACGTAGTTTCAAAGACTCTCCCCTAAATACACTTGTCAATTACGAAGGGGAGGTGAGTTACTTTGCAGAGAAGCCTGGCCAATGCCACCTTGATCTGAGATCAAAGTCAACACCAGAAGCAGGATATTCCGACACCACACGCTGCCTGCAAGGGTGCGACAGCACTTCTGTCGGATTCATGCCCAAAGCGCAAACCTCAAATCTTATCATGGGAAGGTATGAGACAGATCCAAGGTGAGGGATTTTCTAAAGAGTCAATCGTCAGTGCTCTTCACAAGTGTCAAGGCTGTGCTAGACAGACAGACAGACAGACAGACTTTGGGACTGTCCCAGATGGGAGGAGACTGGGGAGTGTGACAACTAAATGTAGGTGGGATTCCAGGAAGATCCTGGGGCAGGAAAGGGACATTGGTGGACAACTGATAAGATGGGAACACGGTCCACAGACCGTTAGCGGCATCACTTATCAAGGTGACCGTCCTGACTCTGCTACCTGGACTGTGTTTATGTTAAGGTGTTGACATCTGGGGAAGCTGCTGAAGGGCACATGGGAATGCTTTGTACCTACTATTTTTGGAAACTTTTAGAAGTCTGAAATGATTTCAAAACGAAAAAACGAACGGTTAAAACATTTACACTCAAAATGCGTGGCAAAGAGGACGAGGCTCCACCTCTCGACAGGAGTCTGGGTCTCACAGGCCTGTCTGTCTAACGTCAGCAAAGGAACACTCAGAACTGTGCATTTTGTTGTAATTAAACTTTACATCAAAAGAAAATCAAAACATACTGAGCTCTAACGAACAGTATGCATTTGGGGGGAACTATACCGATGCCTGCAATTTACTCTGCAACGTTGGGGGGGGCAGCGGGGCGGAGGGCCGTGAAATGAGGATGGGGAGGCGCGTGACAAGGCCCGTGGTGACATGCTGACGGGAGGCTCGTGGCCGCGGGCACGTGGGCTTCACTGTGAAATGCTTTTCATTTTGCAGTGTTTTGAAAGTTTTCACTGAAGAGTTTACAAAGGTCTGGGGTGGGGGGATGGGCTGCAGATCCCGGCGCGCCTCACGGAGGGGGAAGAACAGAGAAGAGCTGCCAGGCGCGCCCCCCCCCACACCCGGAGGCAGCGGCTGAAGCTCTTCCCACACTTCCACGTGGAAGAAAAGGCGCTTAAGCGGGGGGGCCTGGGCCTCCGCTCCCGCTCTCAGGCAGGGCCACCCTCTGCAGGGCAGGCCCGTCAGAAAACTCTCCCCACAGCCGCCCTTCCTGCCACCTGCCCAGCCACACTTAGAAGCCACCATGGCTTCTCCTCAGGCCCTCCCCGCACGTGTCCAGCCTCTCTTCTCAGCCAGTCTGAGCTGGGCTTCTAAACTTCCCCCAGAGGTGGTCTAACCAGAGTCCTTGCAGCGGCAAACTTCTGTAAGAAACTATGTTATTCAAAAATTCTGTTCAAGTTAGGGTACCAGAGACAGCAAGGAGAGGATGGTCTGACAGCTGTGATCCGACATATTTGTTAAAACAAAGCACACACAGATCCAGATAATCGCTTTTTGCTCTCCTTTGTGATACAGGTAAGCCACTGACGGTAAGGCACAAAGACGTAACCTCCCCCCGCGCCCGCCAAAGAAATCTGCCTGTGAGCATAATTTTAGAAACTGGAAAAAAATAACGTACTTATTAAATGGTTGAAATGTCATTTCTAATGCCAATAAAATAGAAATGTAAATCAGAATACGTGATTTACAACCCTGGGTAAGGAATGTAAGGGGAAAGACACTTGGCCTTCATTTCACCCCCTCCTGGTCTACAGCCCTTTTCCAGCATCCTCCCTGCTGGAGCCCTGGGCCCGTGGCACATTCAGAAACTCCTACGGACAGAAGGACTAGGGGAGTGAGCCCTAGGAGGGACGAAGCTGGGGGAGAAGTGTGCTTTCAAAGCACTGAAGAATTTGGGGCAGGATCAGGCTCCTCTAGTTTTTGTTCTGGCCTGAGGATGCCAGGTAGGATTATGACACAGCTAATCTCAACTTGTTCTGTCCCACGCTGACAGCAGCGTGCAGGGAAGCTGCCTAATTCCTCCCTCTCGATTTTCTCTCCTCTTTGGATCTAAGGGTTTACAGAAAGGAAGACAAATCCTTCCCGTCCTACATGCTCCCACTTGACTGTTATGCATACAATGAAAACGGGACCCCAAGAGACTCTTTTCTTTGGAGAGAAGCCCCTTTGAGAGGTTGCCCGTTTCACAGCTAAGCTGGGGGATGGGGGGAGAGTGGAGGCAGGACTGAAAGAGCCAAAGCTGCTCCGATTTTCACTCGGGGGCAACGGGCACTTGCGTGGGTGAGGGTAGCCACAAGCTGACAGCAGAACGTCCCTGCCTCAGGCTCTCTCTGGCAGCTTGAAAAACCTGTTCGGACAGCCCTGGCCTTGGCTATGTCACAAGATCTGCTCATTCAGGAAGGCGGTTTCCCATGTATATTGCCACGAGGCCGCGGTACTCCCTGCTGACCAGCTACCGCCCTCCAGCTCAGGGGCCTCCACAAGAACCAGGGCTGGTTTCCCAAGTCCCTGACTTATGCAGACTGTTTCTGCCTGTCCACAGCACCGGATCTAGCACACCGGGGAAGGAACAAACCAAGAGTCCCCAGTAACTCACTTCGGGGTCCTCAGGCGAGTCCCTGCAACCCTCTGCTAAGCACACCACGTCCTAAGTGTAACTGGATTCGTCTGACGGGCGCCGCGCCCCCCGGCGGAGACGCTCCCCTCCACCCACTCTGGGTGCGCGGCGGAGGGGCTGGAACGCCAAGCGCCGGTCCCCACCCCAGGGGAAATGGGTCTGGACTGTGGGTCCTGGCCAGAGCGCCTGTGGCCGGGATTATGGTGGACTCTGTATAGGTTATCTTGTGTCAGAAGCGGCGCTGCTGCCCTCAAGAACGTCAGGGTAGGGGTGGGAACCTGGGGCCTGGGGGAGCCAAGAGCAGGTGAGACAGGTGAGCTGCCACTCCGAGCCCAAGGAACAGGGAACCGCCACGGAAAACTTGTCGTGTGTGTGTGTGTGTGTGTGTGTGTGTGTGTGTGGTGTGTGTGTGGTGTGTGTGTGTGTGTTGTGTGTGTGTGTCTAGCCCCTTGTGTGTGTGTGTGTGTTATGTGTGTGTGTGTGTGTGTGTGTGTCTAGCCCCTTGGCAGGAAAAAGGCATCTGCGCAGAACTGGTAACCACAGGAGTGGGCAAAGGAAGCCAGGGGAGGCCAGCCTGCCTACACTGAACTGCAGCAGGGCCCACTCCACAAACTAACACACTGAGGCAATCGGGTACCTCCTGCAGGTTCAGAGGATTTAGCTAGACTGCCCGTACAGAAAGGCTACTGTGTGCAGAATCTCAAAGTCTCTGATAGCACCATAAATATTCTGGGTCGGATCAGCACAAACCTCAAGCCGCCCAGCACTGCCTGGCTGGTGGCTACGGGTTTGCTGGTACCTACAGGCAGCTGGGGCAGCCTCAGAGGAAGGGGCGGGAGATGGCTTCCTGCAGCTCTTGTTCTGCCTTCTTTCACAAGCTCCAAAGTCCATGAGGTCACGGACCGGTGTGGTCCCCCTGCTGGGCCCCTCGGCACGTGCTACACGTGCTAATAATGAACAGGCTAAGAGAGAAATAACGCACACCTCTGAACCAACCTCCGACATGGCTACGTCACAGTCACAAAGCTCTTAAGCGTCAGACACTGGGCCAGTAAGTTGCTAGATAAATACTCTGAAAAGAACCCATGTGCACATCTGTCATTTTCTCCATGGCTTCCAGGCCTGATACCCCACCAACTAAAGATAATATAAAGTTCAACTCACTTATCATCTTTCTCATAAATATTTAGTCCAAGGGCATCAACTCCAAGCCAAAGGTCTGTTCCTTTCTTATTTTTTATCTCAAAATAGTTGATTCCATACATTTCCAGGTCCTGGGCAATCTTCAGATACTCCAACATAGCACTGTCTCTGGGTGGGGAGAACAAACATTGGCATCGTCGTTAGTGTCCACCCCGCACTCGACAGTTACACCGCCACCAGGACCTGAAAAGTAGTGCATCACGGAGGACGGGCTGACAGCCAGGTGCCTCCGTCGCTGTCCCTCTGCCGGCCTGTGCCCCAAGTGGGCACCCAGCCATCCTGGACACTGACCACGGGCGTATGTCACGCATCAGGAAAGAACCGAACTGGCTCATGCTGCCCACTCTGGACACAGAGGGCTTCCCTTGGAAATTCTATCGCCGGGCACGACCTCTCTCTCTCTCTCTCTCTCTCTCTGTGGCCCACAAGGTGCTTCAGGGAGCCCACCGTCTGCCTCACTTGGGGCCACTGCTTGGGTTCTGAGTTATTTCCCTCCACAGAAGATGCTCGGGTCAGGCAGGAAACTCTAAGGACACAAAGTCTCTGAGGCCCAAACTGCAAACGAACTTCTGAGGATGGGACATCATGCCAAGAGCTGCTGCCAGTGCCCGAGAGGAGGATTCTAGGACAGAGCATCTGGTTGCTTCGTTCTCACCAGCCGCATGTCCCACTCCGACCCTCTCCATGCCTCGCTGGTGCTTCTTTATTAGCAAGTGTTTCTCACTTGGGAACTTTTTTTTTTTTTACATTTACAACCTTTTGAAGGCAACCACCTTATGGACGATGAACGAATCAGCACCTCTGTGACAGGGAAAAGAAAATGCCTGGTGGGCTGTGAGCAATGTTCCGGCCCCCTTGACTAAAATGAAAAGTTTCATACACAAGCTTTTCTTTCCTCTGAAACAAGGAGGGGAGAAGGCTGGAGGGACTGAAGCTGTAAACTAAGCCACTCCTGCCCTGGTGGCAGTGGGGAGGAACAGCTGGCTTCGTTTGGGAAGAAACCTCATTGGCAGCTCCTCACCTTCCCTGCCCTTCTAGGCACGGCTCCGAGCGAGTCACCTGAAGGACCCGAGTCCCCTGCAAAGAAGATCGGCTCCCAGCCCAGCACTCACTTGAGCATCCCGCGGTGCTCGGCGTGCCACACCTGGATCCGGTCCTCCCACTGGTCCCTGGTGAGCTTGTGCTGGTCCATGACTCTGGATCGCAAAGGAAGAGGGCACAGAGCCGTCACCCCAAAGGGCTGGGAGCGGCGTGCGACCAGCCACTGAGCACCCTCACACAGACCTTGACTTTTCTTTCAAATAAAACCATCTACTTCTTAAGATGCGGCATTTCTATTTATGACAATTAACAGCCTGGACGATTTAGAACCCGGAATGAGACAAACCCAGTCTTGCTAGAAACGCTTTTAAAAGTTGTTTTATTTTAAGTGGCCTCTCCTTCCAAAAGAGGTAATTTATGTGACCGCCAGTAAATAAAAAGACTGAACAGGGGCCGGTTTACCATACACCAGGGAGAGCTAAGAAGGTTCCGCTCTGGCACCTGCGGCTCCTGTGAGGAGGGCCCCCTCCCCTGCTGAGTCCCTCTGTCGCAGACGCCACTCCAGGGTCCACCGAGGGGTGGCAGGGCCTGCGGAAGACCGGCCCGTGACTGCAGACAGAGTCCCCGGCCTGCAGAACACTTGCCCTCCACAAAGCCCTTCTCACTCCCGACCCTCCTGACAGGACACCCGGCCCCCGCCAGCTCACCTTTGGGGGATCAGCCGCTCGGAGCCAAGGTACCCGGACTTGTGCAGCTCCTTGCCGTAGTCCCCGAACTTGGCCTGCACCGCGTAGGAGCCCAGGAGCACCGCCGTCTCAGGTGGGCAGTAAATCTCATCGCTGAGAATCCCCTCCTTCACTTGCAGGAAGAAAAGCTTCTGGGTGATGTCCTGGATGAGCTCCTCGGACACGTCTTCGGGGTAGAACTTGGCCCGGAACTTGAACTGCAGAGGGTTCTCCTTTCTGACCTCCTGGGCGGACACCTGGGTGGCAGAAGCCAAACCCTCACTGCAAGTTTGAAAGACAAAGACCTGCCTTCCCAACACAGGTTTTTTTTGTTTTGTTTTGTTTTTTGCGGTACACGGGTCTCTCACTGTTGTGGCCTCTCCCGTTGCGGAGGCTCCGGACGCGCAGGCTCAGCGGCTGTGGCTCACGGGCCCAGCTGCCCTGCCACATGCGGGATCTTCCCGGACCAGGGCACGAACCCGTGTCCCCTGCATCGGCAGGCAGACTCTCAACCACTGCGCCACCAGGGAAGCCCCCCAAACACAGGTTTTAACCACTGACTCAAAAGCGTCCTTCAGGCCAGTTTTCAGAAGACAATGTTTGTTCTGAAAGTCACCTTTTTAGCATGGAAGACAGAAGGCCAGTGAGAGTCCTGTTACACCCTCACACTAGCCCCAGCCCCAGCCTTGGTTTTCTGGGGGCGATGCTATCAACTCCAGGGGACTGCCTGAGTGACCCGCGAATCTGGCCTCTGTCCATGTGGCCAGGCCAGCCCTGGACCATGAGCTCACTCTCAGTACTTCCTCACGCCCCCCCACACCCCCTTCCATGCCTCTAATCACCCTCCTGATGGGTCCAGTAATATGGGAGGGAAAGCAGGAGTTGGAGAAAAAAGAGAAACTGTCTGGAGAAAACACATTTAGCTTACTGCTTTTCTTTGTAATTGTTAATGGAATTATCCAGTCTTTGGAGTTGAAACTCTTATCACAGGTTCAAACAGAGCAATAACAGATTCTTACAAACAGTGGATGATTCATGGTTTATAAGATTAACAATCTCATTGGAAAAAAAAAAAAAAACCAAAGCTAAGGTCAACTAAAAGCTGAGCAATTAAGCATCATACACTCCAATAAGGGAGCAGTAAGGAGAAATAACAGGATCTAATTTCCAGCAACTACCTCCATTTACTGGAAACCTGCAACCTGTCTGTCTTTAAAAACTTTTACACAAATAGAAAGGAACACAAAACAAAAGACAGAGTTTCAATGTCAACAGAGTAGACCAAACCCAATTAACAGCCTGTAAATAGTTAACATGACTTACTTTTTTATCAAGTTTCAACCAGGTCGGAAATCCTTTATTATCTACATACTGGAGGCCAAAGTACCACACTTCCCGAAGGCCGATGGTCTTAACCACCTGTGTGAAAGAGACGGGGATGGGGGGCGGTTCGAAACAGTCACGAGGAACTCTCTGGATGGCAGTGGCCCTGGGCTGCCACCATCACATGGTGCAGCAGAGCTGCCAGGAGAGCGAGGCGCCATCTTAGACACCGCGGGCAGGCCTCTGCTACACTGTCCATTACTAACAGACATGAACCATTTACTTTTTTTTTTTGGTCGCACTGTGCAGCTTGTGGGATCTTAGTTCCCTGACCAGGGACTGAACCCAGGCCCCTGCAGTGAAAGCACCAAGTCCTAACCACTGAACCACCAGGGAAGTGCCTGAACCATTTACTTTTAATATAAATTTGAGATTTAGGGTTAACTTTAAATCTTATAAAATGTTACCCCTACTCCTGTCCTCCATTATCCGTTTCTGAGTAAAGACAGCTAGGTGGGCCACAGGGAATGGGCCGTAACCCAGGTACACCCACCGGTAAAAGCGTGTGTGTGTCACAGGTGTGACTATACCTGTCGGGGAGCCCACATGAAAAAGGGGTTGAAAGACACCAACGTGAAGCAGAGCCTCCCCTGGCTGCCCGTCTCTGCTCCTCAGCAGCTGGCCAGGCCTCCGCTCAGCAGGATCAGGGCAGCAGCGGTCCAGGAAAGGTATAGAAGGCAGTGGGCAACAAGCTTCCAGGGAAGAGGGGGAGTGCTCAGCTTCACGCATGCCAAGGGGCGACGAGCACACTTTCAACCTCCAGAAACGTGAAATTCTGATACAGGAAGGTGGAATTCAGCCCTAGGTCACAGTGCGTTTCACGTTTTTAAAATCCTCTGCAGTACTCGGACAAAAAGTCTCCTGTGGTCCATTACACTGACAGCCCCACGATGGTTACTCTTGTGTCTTGAAGTCAAAAAGCAACTTGCCGTGGACACTTGTTGAATACTGTCAAAACTTTGCCGCATAGTTTTAAATTCCATGACATATAATGTTAAGCCTTTAAAAAAGAGGTTTACTATTCTTCAAATATCTGGCTTCTATCATACTTAAAGACCAACAAGGGAATTAAGTTATTTCAAACTCTAGGGATTATTCTATCTATAGACCACTGGTCGAAAGAGGGCTGTACACACTGGAAATGAAGATCAGGTATCTGGAGCACTTATTGACAATAAAATCTGAAACACCAAACAAAGTCTGCCTTGAGCCTGTTTCTGCACTGGCCTCGGCACATCAGCCTCGGCTGCGGGGCCAGACGCTTGCGGGAGCTCCCGAGTCTCCGTTTACTACAGGCCAGGGAATGACCTGCTCATCCACTCCCTTCACTCACCCAAAAAAGGGGAGGAGGGACTAGACCCGAGTCCTCATCACGAAGCGACGGGAGGGCAGTTTTGACTCTTACCAGCACTCTCCCCACAAGTCTGGTGAAGCCCCAGGTCCGCTTTTCCTGGTAGCCAAGTATAGAGGAAGCTGACTGGAAGAACAGGTTTTCTATACCCAATCCTGCTCGTTTCCTAAACCTCCATCTCAACATTTGGATACGAAACCTGCCTCGCCTTCCTCTGTGGGCAGTCCAGAGCCACACAAGAAGGCCCCGCGTACAGAAGCCACTCGACCTCTCCTTCCACTCCATCCGCCCAGCTGCAGCCTTAGCCTGGGTCCAACCAGCGTGAAACCATTTCCTGTCCACCTGACTTCCCTGCCCCGTGCCCGTCAGACCCTCGCTGATCTTCAGACTCCTCTTCATGTGCTCCGCTGTGGCCGGTCCCCCTTCACGGAGCCCATCAGACTCTGGAGCCATGAACCTGACCCGGGTCCCTCACTCTCTTGGTGGAAGCCTGTCCCTGGGTTCCCTGATCTGCCACCCATCTTTACGTATGACTCTTCCGTCTACTTCCAGGACAACTGTCCTCAGCATGTTTCAAAGCTCTACTTCTCTCCCTACGGCTCCCCCAAAACAACACAACAGAAGTAAACAACCTTCCTTTCTGCAGTCCATTCTAAAAACTGACCTGTCAGTCCTCTCTGCGAGGGAAACCCAGCATTCCTAGAATAACACAATCACTGTTCTCTCCAATGTCGCCACCTTAACCTAAAACTGATACACAGCACGCAAGCCAAATCTGAACGGGTGTGGGGTCCATTCCTTTATCTATGTCTCTGTGGTGTTTTATTTTTATTATTTTATTTTATTTATTTATTTTAATTTTTGGCTGTGTTGGGTCTTCGTTGCTGTGCGTGGGCTTTCTCTAGTTGCGGCGAGCGGGGGCTACTCTTCGTGGCGCTGTGCGGGCTTCTCGTTGCGGTGGCTTCTCTTCTTGTGGAGCACGGGCTCTAGGCGCACAGACTTCAGTAGTTGCGGCTCGCAGGCTCTAGAGCACAGGCTCAGTAGCTGTGGCACACAGGCTTCAGTGGTTGTGGCACGTGGGCTCAGTAGTTGCGGCTCGCGGGCTCTAGAGCGCAGGCTCGGTAGTTGTGGCGCATGGGCTTAGCTGCTCTGCGGCATGTGGGATCCTCCCTGACCAGGGCTTAAACTTGTGTCCCCTGCATTGGCAGATGGATTCTTAACCACTGTGCCACCAGGGCAGTCCCTCTGTGGTGTTTTAAGTGGCACATTTTGGGAAAGGAAAAGGCAGGGATGTGTCTACTTAACTCAGCCTCAAGCGACAGCTGGAAAATACTATTGATACTTTCTGGTGATGAAAACAGTGAGCAGAGAGTCACGTGGCAGGAACTCCTTTCTCAGCACGTCGGCAGCTGCAGTAGCGGGAAACATGGCCCCGCCAGGAACCTGCCTGGCCTCCGCGATGGTCTCTGTGAGGGCCTCTGTCACCTCGGAGCCCTGGACTAGAATCTAGTCACAGACGAAGCAACAGCACTGGGACAGGGGCTGGGGGACAGTTACTGCTGAGGAGACTCAAGTGACAGAGGGGGTGGGAGAGAATCGGACTACCTTCCAAGTCTCCTTCAACCGATGCCAGTTAAGGACCACATTTTAGTGACTGGCAGCTGGGCCCGGGAGTGAGCTTCCAACACCTAGAAGTGCATCAGATGGAGCAGCAGAGAAAGGACGCAGAGCCCCGTGCAGCCCGCAGCCCCTCCTGGATGTTCGTTCAGGAGGAAACATGCCTGACGTGGCGGAGGGGAGGAGGGGTGCCCGGCCCACCTGTGCCAACGAGGCCTGAGCATCCCCACCCCACGTACCACGTCGGAGGGATAAACAAGTGGATCTTCAAAGAGCGAGGTGCAACTGGGGTCAAGGCTGTGGAGATGGCCTTTCCTGCCAGGTCTCTGCGTCCACAGTTCTAACACAGACCGAGTCATGTTCCGCTGACCCACGAGCGGTTCCATGAGCGGTTCCACGGGTCCGCTCCAGCCTCAAGTCCTCAGATTACACAGTAGTTCACAATAGGAACACACAATACTGAAAAAAATTCCAACACTAACTCTGGTGACTGAGGGATGCGCTAGCTGCAGGCAGAGCTGACCCGAGCCCCCGGCTTCCTCCCCGTCTGTGCTCTCACCACTGGCCCCATATGGTGCCCAGGATTTTCTTTCAGGAGAAACCCTTAGATTTCCACCCCAAGTCCAGTCCCGCCCCAGGCAGTAAATGTCTTTATCGTTATCGGGTGAGGCACGGCCAGGGAATGGCCTCAAAATAATAACACAGGGAGAGCGGAGGCTGCATTCGAACCCTCCCCTGGAGGTGTGAGCCCCCAGGCCCTGCTCACTGGCTTGGGGAAATTAACCTGCTGGGTGCTGACTTTGGGGATGAAAGGGAGATCCCATCAGGCCCAGGGTGAGTCACCTACAGTTTCTACATTTGCCAGGACTCCGCTCCACTTTCCAGTTTCATGCTGGGATGCAGAGCATGGCTTGGCTGACCAGCAGGGCCTCTCAGGAAGACCGCCGACGGTGCAGGTGCCTGTAAACGCACACCCTGCCCCGGTGCCCTACTGGGTCCTCAGTCCCAGAGCAGAATTTACAAAGCCCAGAAAGGTAGCTCTCGCTCTGTCTAAAGCTTGGAACCATTTCATGGAAGAGTTATCACGGCCCTCATGGTGGTGCACCGCGCTTATTAAAATTCTGCATCACCTTCAGCTTTCATGAAGAGAGGGGCAGGAGTGCGGCTGGGCTGTTACCTGGCTGGAGGGAAGAGTGTGTGCTGACCTCCGAGGGGCTCAGGACGCTGCAGCTGCAGGGAGTGCTGGAGAGAGGCCGCCTGGCCCCACGCTGTTCTCCACTGCACCCCGGCCGCGAACCAGATGGCAGGAAACGGCCAGGGGGACCATGGAGACCCCAGCGGGAGAGGTGGCAGCCAGAGCTCTCAGGTGAGGCTCTGGCTTGTGAAGACTGCACGGCGCCCCTTCTTCTTGGGACTGCGAACAGGGGCCACCCCGGGGAGAGTGTTTACGACAGCTGAATCCCGCTGGCAGGGGGTAAAAAAATGGTCTACTCCACAGCAAGAAGCTAGCAGCCAACCAAGGTAATAAATATGCTCGGCAAACAAAGTGATTCCGATTCTGCAAACACTTTTTTCTACCTGGGATCCCTCTCTCTTAAGTTCACAGAAACCAACCTGATCAAAAAGCTGTTTTCCTGTTGTATTTGGTTGGATGGCGAACTCCAGCTCCGCGTCCATGGTGGTAACTCGGACGTTGATCTAGAAAACAGAATGGAACACATTACACTTAACCGGGTGTTTAATAATCTCCGGTGTCCCACCTGAACTCAACGGTCAAGAGCAAAGTGGTGAGAGTATGTCCCTCCTCTGCACCCATTCTCATACCTGTCACCACACACAGACACACACACACCCCCAACCCCAAAACACACACCACACACACCCCAGCTCTGTGCCTAGGCATGCAGTTTGGATTCAAATGTGTGCCCTCGTGGCTTTAATAAAGCACATTCACGCTTAGGTCTAAGCTGTTTTTCTGCAAAATACTTTGATAACTGTCAACATATTTTGCATACACCATCACACATTTTGACCCTACGACAGCTAAGTGAAGCCGCCTCTGGGCATCCACACCAAGTCGGTAAGTGAAAGGAGAGGACAGAGAAGGGTCTGTACACCAGAATGCTGCCAGCAACTTTAGAAACCACCTCGACAGTGAAGAGAGAAATGGCTAAATGATCACAGACACATCGGAGAGGATAGAATACTATGTAGTAATTTGAAAAGGTAATTATGAAGACAGTGGGAACATGGAAGCATTACTAGGATAGTAAGGTCACAAGGTGGTAGTGATGGGAAGGCCTGAAAAAATGTCTCTAATAGTGCCATATTGGTGGTTTAAGGAAATTTATTTCAAGGTCATTTTCCGATTTATCGCTTGAAAAAACCCAGAATTTGCTAGCATATGAAAAACATGCAAATCTAGCTACGTTTTATCACGGTCCCAAAGGAAAATAACACAGCAACTATAATGCTTAACATTAAGAAATGCTTGCTTCTCACCATTTTTCACGTGAAATATATAAATAGCTGGACAGACATATATTCCAAATTCTTCCTAACACAGACAGAAATGTAATGAGGACACAGACTGACTGACTGTATTTATTTTTTTAAATATTTATTTATTTATTTATTTAATTTTTGGCTGTGTTGGGTCTTAACTGCGGCCACGCAGGATCTTCCTTGCCGCATGCAGGATCTTTTGTCGCAGCGTACGGGCTTCTCTCTCTAGTTGTGGCTCGTGTGCTCAGTAGTTGCAGCGCATGGGCTTAGTTGCCCCGCAGCATGTGGGATCTTAGTTCCCCAACCAGGGATTGAAGCCGTGTCCCCTACGCTGGAAGGCAGATTCTTAACCACTGGACCACCAGGGAAGTCCCCTAAATGTATTATTTAGCTTCCCGATATAAGAACTAAAAAGTGGTGAGTTCCGAATGTGTGTCATGCCTTGGCTGGATACTTAGACTGTCTAAGTTCAACAAAAATTAGTCTTTACAAATCATTTTTTCCCTAACACTCAAGACTGTGATGACTGCGAGATACTTTTACATACATACAGCCTGTCTTAAAGGTTCTCTGACTGACATAACATATAGAGAAGTCAGGCATAATTTTCCATATTTTAATAAATGTTTCCTCTCCAATCACAAGTCTACAAATGAAAAAAGTGAAGTTTACTGAGAAGAGACTATTAGGCACATCTTAGATTCTTCAAGTTCTTTAAAATATAAAAACCTACGTTTCTTCCTTTTCCTGCCAGCAATAATTTAAAGAAATCACAAAATGGCTGTTACAAAGCAAGTCTCTCTCTATTACGGTTCCAAGGGCACATAAGAGAGATGTGAAAAGCAGCCCCAAAGTCAAATATTCTGTAACAAACGCAGCTCCGAATTAAATTACACTCATAAGCCCACAATGAATGTCACACTCGAAAGTGAAGTGGAGGGATGCGGGGCTGACAAATGCCGGGCCTCAGATACACTCTTCTTTCTCTGTTACCTACTGATTCAGAAACTGAACCACCAAACAATGTGTACCGAATGCCACTACCCTGGTTAAGATGCATATAAGAGACCAGAGGTTCACGCGTAGGAGATTTCAGACTCTAACTCCTACATCTCGATCACCTCTAAATTTGAGGACCAAGAAAAAAATGTCACCTCTGGAAACCAATGCTAATAATTAACATAAAAAAGTGATCGTCACACTATTTTTTTTTTTTTTTTGCCCCCCCACCGCCGCGGCCCCTCCCGCCACGGAGCACAGGCTCCGGACGCGCAGGCCTAGGGGCCATGGCTCACGGGCCCAGCCGCTCCGCGGCACGTGGGATCCTCCCGGACCAGGGCACGAACCCGCGCCCCCCGCATTGGCAGGCGGACTCCCAACCACTGCGCCACCAGGGAAGCCCCGTCACACTATTTTTAACTATTTTGCAAACTCATTAACAGGAATTTAGAAAAAAACTATTTTAAGGTTCTGAGCTGGTTCACATTTGACTCAAAGTTCACACAACTCTTTGAAAAAGCAAAGAACCTGCAAAATGAATACTTTTACTGAGATTAGATGGAACAAGCCAGTAGTATGTAGAAAGTGAACTTTCTTAAAAATTAAGTGTATTGGGAAGGTCTGCGCAACCTGCAAAAACTGCACCTCCCATCACAGGCACTTAAAATGACCATCAGGGCTTCCCTGGTGGCGCATTGGTTAAGAATCCGCCTGCCAATGCATGGGAAACGGGTTCGAGCCCTGGTCCGGGAAGATCCCACATGCCGCGGAGCAACTAAGCCCATGTGCCACAACTACTGAGCCTGCGCTCTACAGTCTGAGAGCCACAACTACTGAGCCCACGTGCCGCAACTACTGAAGCCCGTGCTCCACAATAAGAGAAGCCACGGCAAAGGAAAAAAGGCCACGCACCGCAACAAAGTGTAGCCCTCGCTCGCCGCAACTAGAGAAAAGCCCGCGTGCAGCAACGAAGACCCAACGCAGCCAAAAATAAGCAAAAAAAAAAAAGACCATCAGCAGCTCCAGTGAGACATTCCGCCAAGCTTCACTTGCTCTGGTCTTTCCAGGGACTTCCTTCCCTGAGCTGCAACACCCAGGCAATCCTGCAGTCTGGTGCATGGCTGCAAACAAAGCTGTCAAGCCGGCGATCAGGCTACGCTCTTTGGGCTGCAATCACGGGCACGGCTGGGACCAGTGTCGGGAGGCAGACAGCCTTTCCCTCTGCTGTGCCCACCAGCCCCGTCGGAAAGAGCAGTGCCCAGCTCTAATCTGGGGAGGCACCAAAATATTCATTTTCAGACACCCCCTAAAATTACAAAATCAAGGTAGTTTTAATCAATGTATGTGTATTTCCTTTACAGTGCGTGGTCTACAATCTTGAGACCAAGGTTGAGACGGGAGAACTCATGAAAGCTAAACACTCGAATGAACAACATGTTAATGATCTCCAGCCAAGCTGCCCTGCAGGACTGGGCGCGTGTCCCTTGACTAGTTGTCACCCTACTCGTCTCTCTCATGGGGTCGGGGGTGAAATGCTATTCTGGGCCAGCACGAGTGTTCCTTCTCCAAGACTACCTCAAGGACTGCAGGATGTTTAGCATCCCTGAGCCCACCCACTAAACACCAGGCATCCCCAGTCCTCTAAAAGTACCCCCCAACACACACACGCACCCCAAAATGCCCTCTGGACAAAGCAGATGCTCCTACCCTGACTGAGGATCGCAGCACGGCACTGCCTAAATCAGCAGCATGTTAAGCAGGTCCATGTTTAGAAAGACTATTAAGATTCTTTTAGACTTTACAGATCTGTAATAATGTACTGAGATACAGCATAAACTTTCATCAAAGTTTAAGATGGAACATTTATTCAGATGACAGGACCATTTATATTCATGTTTTGGTCCACTTATCCAGGGGCTTTAGAAGAAATCAGGCTTTGGCACGTCAAGGAAACATACCTAAATCCCAACTCTCCTTTTTATTATCCTGTTAGGTTTCCTTGGTAATCAATTGGGTTTTTTTTGTTTTGTTTTTTTTTTTTACAATATGTGGTCTTAATTACTTATTTATTTATTTATTTTGGGCTTTGTTGGGTCTTCGTTTCTGTGCGAGGGCTTTCTCTAGTTGCAGCAAGCGGGGGCCACTCTTCATCGCGGTGCGCGGGCCTCTCACTATTGCGGCCTCTCTTGTTGCAGAGCACAGGCTCCAGACACGCAGGCTCAGCAGTTGTGGCTCATGGGCCTAGTTGCTCCGCGGCATGTGGGATCTTCTCAGACCAGGGCTCGAACCCATGTCCCCTGCATTGGCAGGCAGATTCTCAACAACTGCGCCACCAGGGAAGCCCCTCAATTGTTTTTAGTGAACTCAGTGTATACTTGGAAAAAGCTAGCACTCGTGTTTGCAGTGGTGCCACAGAAATAAAGTGGGATGATATGGTTATGCATGATAAATGTGAGAATGGTTCCACGAAAAGCTGGAGGTCCAGGGTAAAACGTATCACCACACAAACCCAAACCACATGCAAAGGCTGGAGAAAAGCACATGGTTTGCAATTTTTATTGTCTTCGTATTTCCCCCTAGATCACACACTTTTCTCAAAGGCAATATTCTCTGAAGGCAGCAAAATCACATAGTAATGTGAGGTACAGGTGTGTACAGTATGCAGTTAGTCATTTAAAATCTACCCACCAAAAGGGCAATGTTTATGCCAGGTTGGTCAAAATACTGAAACCGTTTCTAACATTCTGCTCTGTTTGGTGGGGGCAGTGGTGATAAAAGTTTAATTCTGCCCATGTACCCCAACCCCTTACGGACACACAGAGAACCATGTGGTTGGTGTAGATGATAATTTAGTAATTCATGTCTCTCCTCCAAATGCTGCTCCTTTTGAAGCTGTGGCACAAAGCTGTAGTTAGGGTTCCAAAACGTTAGAACCTAAAAGGAACCCGACATAATCATACTCCACTATTTATAAGGGAAATTCGTAAGTTTCAGTATGAGAGTTACATTAGCACTCTATGGATTTAAAATAACAAGGTTTTTTTTTTAAACAGCTATATACTAGGTCAGAATTTTAGAGTAAGATAATGTATCCTAGACACAAAACTTGGTATTGAAGGTGTCTGAACCCCTTGAGGAAAATGAGGTTTTCAATGAGTATTTGTGTGTTTTTCACACTGACCATATTTAGCAGA